AAGAAGGCAAGGTTCTTGAGGGACAAGGGAGAGAACAGACAAGTAGAATGAACCAAAGATCATGATGATTTATGAAGTTTTCAGTGGTAAGAGGAACAATAGGGTAGAAACAGTGTCCCCATGTAATGAGCAGGACTCCCTGGGAGCACAGCTGCTCAGCATTTAGCCTGCCTTGGGGTTTAATAAACAGTGCTGGAGCACACAACAGTGAGAATTTAAGAGAAGGAAGAGTAGGGAAGAAGCAAGTTAAAACACAGGTGTCAGAGGCCAAGTTCGGTGTCCAGAATAGGATTAATAGCAGTGCTACAAAGGTGAGATTCAAGCCAAGTTCTACAGACCTCAGCAGGGCCAAGGTTATTCATGCCTTAGGTTATCAAGGGAATTCGGGGACCCTGGAAGTCATGGTCAGAACACATGGAAACAAGGTGTCAGCCCACAGCACTGAGACACCCAGGGTACTGGCTTCATTAGCTCCAGCAGTGGGAATGGTATGGGAATGGATAGCACTGGGGTTTGGCTGGAAGTGCCATAGAGAAAGGCAGTTAGTGCTGCCAAGGGTTCAGCTTGTCACACGACATTTACGCACATTGCCTGCATGCCCCCCGCCCCGTTCCTGTCACATATGCAGGGCAGCATGCATCAAGTGAAGAACTGCTTCCTGCACCTGGGAGAAGCTGCTGTGACAGATTTTATGCAGCCTGTTCCTCCTCTTTTTGCTCCCCATTGGTGATGGAGGTGGGGCAACTGAAACAGGGAGAGGGGTTGAAAGGAGGCAACTCAAGGAGCTCCAGGTTCCCTGTTGTGTCCTGCTTTTTGCCTCCCCCACAGCACCCCTCCCTTTGGACTCCCTCACCAAATAACATTCCCCTCCCAGTTACCCCAATCCCAGGGGTCTGAGGTAGCAGTGTCAAGAAATGTCACACATGACACAGCCACAGTTGGCTACCCAGGGGATCATGGGAGATCAGCAGACACTTTCTTACATGTCAAAATTTTCAACATGGTCTGACTAGCAAACCTGCTCAGTAAGGAGGAATGATGTAGTGCAGCCAGAAGAGCTGATCTGAGCCATTTATAAAGGGAACAACGTATCTGAGAACAGCACTACATCAGAAGACCTCTGGCCAACAGCTCCAATACTACGGAGCAGGATGAAAGTTGGGCACAGTACAAACGAGGAACTGCATATAGCTACACTGTGACTCCACAGTCCAGCCCCTAGGAAAGGCAGCATGCAGATACACTGTGCCTGGCACAGGGCAGGGAGTGAAGCTTGACTTTGGGAGTCAGTTTGGTTCCCACTCACCCCAAAAGAAGAGTCACCTCCACTAGCCCTTTTGGTCCCAGGCATCAGCCCCAGTGCACTATCTGCCTTCTGGGTTCCACCTACATCCCACCCATTTTCAGCCACCTGGGCATGAGAAGCAACAGCAGTCTGGCAAGAGCTGCTCTCCAGTGATGTGGGCAGTTCTTGCAGGAAAACCAGAAGACTCCTTTTGCCTCACAACTATGTGCAGCTACACAACTGAACTCCCAGCTGAGGCCTGAAATAAAAAGTGGGTACAAGCAACTGGGCTGAGATTTAACATAAGTAACTGTGGAGAGAACACATGCAAGGAAGAAGATAAAATACACCCTTTGACCAAAAGAAGCAACGGTAAGAAATCACTGCTAGAGAGATACTGAGCAAGAGATGAGAAAAGAATCTCCAGCGTAAGGCTGCTGTGATACACAGGTATCCTATATCTAAACGAACTGTCGCTATGAGGGCATGTCCCTGGCATCCAGTGCAAGTCGTCTCTCCCTACTTAGATATCTAGCAGAGACAGCAGTTTTGATCCTTGCAAAGGTAGCTGAACTAGTAGCTGAAGGGCTGTGACACATTGCAATCACTATTTGCAAACAGTTAATGTTCAAATAGTCAATAGTTGATATTCATTACTTGTGCTTTGGGATTGGTCACCTGAGTCACATGGCTTTGGTTCAGCCCCATGATTGGATAACTATTTTAAACACTAATGAATGACAAATAACAAACTTTCATTACAGATTTTCAGATGAAGGATAGTCCTGCATACATCTAAGCATTTGGGGATCTGCCATTCTAGTGTTTGTATCAATCAGTGTGATGCCCTCTGAAAAAGCCTGGGCTTATGGGTAAAGCATGAAACTAGGTCTCTAGACATCTAGGTTCAATTCTGAGCTCTGAGACAAACTTCTTGTGTGATACCAGAGAGGCAGCATAAGGAATCCTACCTTTCAGAGGTGCTGTGAACAGAGCCACAAATGTCTGTCACCTACTTGGGTCCTGGAGAAATGGGGATTTAGAAGTGAGGACAAGTGGTCTCACGGAGTCTGATGAGACACTCCCATTTTCAGGAACAGAGAGGAAGCTCTCCGTTTCAGGCTCTTGTCATCCAGATGGCTGGCTTTGCATGTGGCATCTGCAGGGATGTGGGTGTCCTCTGTAACTCTCTTGCGCCTCATCATGGGTGAAAGTGTGCCACATTCCTCACCCCGGCCGTTATACCTGCTATGGATAGAAAACAAAGGCACTGAGCAGAGTCAGGCAAAAGAGGATCCAGCCGGTCAAGGCTTATCCCCTGGCCCTAGGCCCTCACCCACACTGCTGAACACATGGGGATCTTGGAGGGCAAATGCTGTTTGTACGATCTGAGCAGGGCCAGTAGAGTCACCTTGGGATGCTACTGCCTGAGACACGGGTGTGGAGTAGATGACCTCTGCCTCTCTTTGACTGACCGTGAGCGAGCCCTGAAGGGCCGAGGGCTTTCCTTCCTTCTCTCTGTTGCACCCCACCAGGCACCCCTGCCCAGCAGGCATCGGGGCTCATCTCCGCCTTCCCCGCGGTGGCCGCCCCCGCGGCCCG